GGGGGGGGGGGGGGGGGGGGGGGGTGTGTGTGTGTGTGTGTGTGTTCGGGTACTTCTTGCCTTAAAAAAATACAACTGACTGAAAACAATCGAATCCTTCTTAGATAGTTCCAGGGCATGTCCCACTCAGGGCAATTGTGATTACACAATGGTGACTGCAAAAACTCTAAGGGAGGAGCCATGTGTATCTGACTCCCACTCATAATCTGAAATGTGTTTGGTTTTAAAATTCTCTTATCAGCTGCATACCTTGTCACATGTCTCTTTCTCCTAGAATTCAAGCTCAAACACTAGAGCTTATTTAGTGTTACAGCAGAGGCTCAAGACTCTTTAATAGTATCACTTGGCTTCTTGATACTCTTTGGTAGTATCACTACTCGTTGTCAGTTTTTCACTGGGCTGAAACTGAGCTATTTCGTGCCCCTGCTTTCCATTTTCAAGCAACTCCCTCTGGTCACCAGCTCAGTAGAGCTCCTCCTGGATTCTCAACTCTTCTGAATTTCATTAGTGCAGAAGAGTGCTTAGTAAAGCACACAAGAGGCCAGACACAGAATAATTTCGGAGTCACAGGCACTTATATATTCAGGAAATGGGGGGTGGGCGGGAATTGCCAACATCAAGCCTTTAACTGTAGGGCCAGAATAGAGCAAGACAAATTGAGGAAGTCCCTTTTTTCCAACTGTATGCGACATCAGTTATGCCGATGGAGACCAGAAAAGAAAAATGTCTCCTCCAAGCTAGTCGGCACCTTAACAACTATGGGAGCAGCGGCTGCACATACATATTCTCTCTGGGTCGTCCATATTCATGGGCATCGAGGCTAGGTCTGGCAACATGTGAGCATTTTCCCACCAGTCAGCTAAATCTAAGTTTTAAATGCAAAGTGTACATTTCAAGGACATTATGTGGATTTGTGGCAGTGCCTGGAGGACTTTGGGTCCATAAAACGAAGAATAAATTACAAGGTAATATAAATATGGCATTTTCATCAGTGACAGTTATAATATTGTTACAACACTGAAGAAAACTGGTGGCTTTCTGTAGATGAGCATGCTCACTGTAGCTACAAAAAAAGTGCCTCACTAAGCAGAAATTGGAGTAAAAGAAAATGAGATTAAAATGATGACATATCAAAAGTCTCGCATTTCAGAGCAAAGGAAGAAGTGTGCGGCTTTGTTTCCAGCTAGGCAGGTCTGTTTGCAACTCAGCATGAGGTAAACTCCTGAGGTGGAGTTTTACCGGTTAGTATTTTCCCAGGCCGAGGCAGTCTCTTTGGGGCCTCTGGAGAGAGCCTATGTGTGTCGGGAGAGTCAGGGGTTGGAAGGTTGGATGAACTAGGCTAGTGCCCAAGATGATCTGAGAGCTAATCCAAGGTCCTTGGACATCTCTGTTCTGTGTCTCTAAGGGCACTCACTGTCTTAGACAGTGTTCTGCTGCTATAACAGACCACAGAAAGGGTCATTTGTAGAGAAAAGTAATTTATTTCTCACAGTTCTAAAGTTTATTTCTCATCTTTTAAAAGTGGTTGGCATCTTGTGAGGGCCTTCTGGCTGTGTTATTTTATGGAAGAAAGAAAAAGCGAGCCCATGAGACAGAGGAGGCAAATGGGACCCAAACTTATCTTTTTACTGGGAGCCCAGTCCTGTGATAACTAACCCACTTCAGGAATAATGATATTAATCTGTTCATGAAGGCAGAGTCCTCATGACCCAGTTACCTCCCAAAGGCTCTGACCTCTTAATACTGTTACAACAAGCCTCCCCAGGCAAAATATACTCCCTCCGACTTTCATACCTGTCCCACTATCCTCCATCCTAAAGCTTCATTCAGATAAATCATGACCCCACAGTTCTATAGGCTTCTAACCAACCACGTCCCACTTGTAGCTAGTTAGTCCAATTTATAACTTGAGTCAGGTCATCTACCAGACGGTGATTGGCAGACTTCTGAATCCTTGGCACAGGATGAAAGGATGAAGAAGTTCTCTGTATCTATGTGCAGGGCTGTGCCTAATTACCACGGGTCTGGTATCAGCAGCCTAAAAATCCAGAGACTCAGAATTAATTCATACTTCAAGATGGCAAGGCCTAAGGTCAAGGCCACCCTGCTAATTTCTAAAAATGTGGTGTTAAGACAAAATTTTAAACATATGCAAAAGTAGTTCGTAACAGAGAGCCCGCATGCAGGTATCACTCAACATCACTCAGTATTCAACAACCATCAGCATTTTGCCTACTAACTTCATCTATCTACTCCTTCCCTCCTTTTTAACCAGAGTATTTTAAAGCAAACTCCAAACATTATGATCTTACCCCTAAATACTTCAATAGGCACCTCAGAAGAATAAGAACATTTATTTTACATAACCACAAGGCCACTATCATTGTCAAAATTTCTAATTCCTTCAATATCATCTAATCCAATCCTCATTCATTGTTCCCTGTTAGTCTATCAAATATCTTTTTTAACTACTTTATTTAAATCAGAATCTAAACCAGGGCTACTCTATTATTTATTGGTTATGTCTGTTAAGTATATTTTATTATTTTTGTCTCTTTTAATAAGTGTCCTCTCTCTGTCTTTCTCTCTCTCTCTCTCTCTCTCTGTCTCTCTCACTTTCTTTTGCTCTGTGTTTGTGCATGTGTCTTTCACATACTGATAAATTCCATTGTTCTATGGAATGTCCCACATCCTGTATTTGACTGATTGCTACCTTGTGGTGCTGTTTAACTTAAATCTACTACATAACTTGTGAAGTCAGGCCTAAAGTCTTGTTTGGATTCAAGTTTAATTTTTTGTATGTGGCAAGAATACTTCACAGGTGATACTGTATACTCCATACTGTACCACTTTAGAAAGTATGTAATTTTGATAGTCTCGATTTGGTGATGCTGATCTAGGAGCGATCTATTTGTTTGTCTTCAAACGGAAATTAAACATGCAATCAAACTCAACTCTAAAAATTAAAGTAATTCAGAGGAGTCTCACTCCATCCTTGCTCCTGTATCTAGTCTCTTCCCTCCCTTTAAAGACAATTAATTTGTCTTTTCACAAACATAAGAAAGTACATACCTTTCTTACACAAAAGATAGCAAGCTACACACTACATCCTATATACCATATTCTATATACACTGTACATACTGGTGTGCACTTGCTTTTTTCACCTTATAATATATCCTGTATATTGCTCCATATCAATATATAGAGATTTTTTTAATCATTTTTTTTCTGCCGGAGATTCCATTTTGTGAATATCCCATATTTTGTTCAGCTGGTTGTATATTGATAGTCTGGTTATTGCCGAGTTTTGCTATTGCAAAAAAAATACTGTAATGAATAATCTTGTGCCTATGCCATTTTGTGCTTTTTGCAAGTGTATACTTGGTTAAGATTACTAAAGTGGGATTGCTGTTCAAAGGGTAAAACATGTATACTTTTGCTAGATAGCCAATCAAATTATTGCATCCAATATTAACTTACATTGTTTCCGTCATCAGAAAGAAGCCAACAAAACCTACAACTGTGAAAATTTTGGTCTCAGTGAAATCCCCGACACTTTACCAAACACAACGGAATCTTTGGAATTCAGCTTTAATTTTTTGCCTGCAATTCAAAACAGAACATTCAGCCGGCTCATAAATCTTACCTTTTTGGATTTAACCAGGTATGTATCTGAGTTCCTTGTGTGCTCTTGATGTTTACTTAAGTGAAAACTCAACTCATGTTCCATTTATTTGCCAGATCTTCTTTGGGGCCCAGGGACCATCTGCTTATCCTGCATGTTTACCCTTTCCCATGAAATACTTTCATGCAGGTGAAATGTGATTTCAATAAACACCAACTAGTGGAGGGGAAAGTGGATTTTCTGCACCCTAGTTGCGTCAGTAGTACTGCTTAAGAAGTTCTAAGGAAAATGGATACAAAAAAAGAAAACAAATATTGTACTAAATCAGTTGCCAGACTATACCACACATTAGCATAGCTGACTGTGCTGACATTTAAGAAAAATTTCTGGGAATAACACACACAATCTACCCACTTTTTTTTCCCCTCCAAGTTGGAAAATGAGTTCCATTATTTTGTTTAAGTGGCAAAATCAGAGTTCACATGCTGAGTCATGCTTGAGAACCAGTGAGTGGAAGTATGACCAGAAAATAAGAGAAGAAAAAAGATGAAAGGGGTGTGCATCATATCTGTGTGTTGGGTGTGTGTGTCTGTGTGTGTGTGTGTGTGTGTGTGTGTGTGTGTGTGTGTGCGCGTGTATGTTCATGTAATCCAGTATTTTAGGTGCAATACCAGGGTGAGTTTCTCTGGACCTCCAGTGTCCCATAGTTCCATGGAATATTTTCACATATATCATTTGACTGGCAACATTTCTACCAAGTAGCCATCATTTCATATCTATAGACTAAATGAAAATACAGAGGTTGAGGAAAATTGTAACTTACCCGGGATGGCACAGATTCTTATGATCTTAAGATATATATATATAATAGATCATATATTATCTATTATGCATTATATGCATGCTCACACGACTCTGAGGGTTCAATCTAAAGAAAAAGATACCTGAAAAAAAAATGCTAAAAGTGTTCAGAAGTGTGGTGACTCATGAATCCAACCAACACGCTATCTGTGGGTATTGAAGAAAGTATTTTATGTTTGATCTTCAATAATAATGTCTACTATTTCTACTATATACAAAAAACGGCTTTGTTCATGCATGTCACAGTAATAGGGAGTTTAATCCTATTTTTCAATTAATTATTGTTAAATACTGTGATCTTTTCAAGGTGCCAGATTAGCTGGATACATGAAGATACTTTTCAAGGTCATCGTCAATTGAGCACACTTGTGTTGACTGGAAATCCCCTGATATTCATGGCAGAAACATCACTTAATGGGCCCAAATCACTGAAGCATCTTTTCTTAATCCAAACAGGAATATCCGATCTCAAGTTCATTCCTGTACACAACCTGGAAAACTTGGAAAGTTTGTACCTTGGAAACAACCATATTTCCTCCATGAAGCTCCCCAAAGCCTTCCCAACAAGGAATCTGCAAGTACTGGATTTTCAGAATAATGCTATCCACTACTTCTCCAGAGAAGATGTGAGGTCTCTGGGACAGGCCACCCACCTAAGTCTTAACTTCAACAGCAATGACATTAAAGCTATTGAGCCTGGGGCCTTTGGTTCAACGGTTTTCCAAAGTTTGAACTTTGGAGGGACTTTTAACTTGTCTGTTATATTCGATGGTCTACAAAACTCTACTACTCAGTCTCTCTGGCTAGGGACTTTTGAGGACATGTATGACCAAGACGTTAGTTCAGACATGCTCAGGGGACTCTGTGAAGTGTCTGTTGAGAGCCTCAACCTGCAGAAGCACCATTTCTCTGACTTCTCATCCACCACGTTCCGGTGCTTCACCCGACTCCAGGAACTGGATCTGACAGCGACTCACTTGTCAGAGCTACCCTCTGGGATTGAAGGCATGAACTCGCTCAAGAAATTAGTACTCAATGCAAATAATTTTGACCAATTGTGTCAAGTCAATGCTGCCAGTTTCCCCTCCCTTACACACCTTTCCATCAAAGGCAACATGAAGAAACTCCAGCTTGGTGTTGGCTGTTTGGAAAAGCTAGGAAACCTTCGGAAACTTGATTTAAGTCATAGTGACATAGAAGCTTCTGACTGCTGCAATCTGCCACTCAGAAATCTGTCCCACTTGCAAAGCCTAAACCTGAGCTACAATGAGCCCCTTGGACTCCAGCATCAGGCGTTCAAAGAATGTCCTCAGCTAGAACTCCTGGATTTGGCCTTTACCCGCTTACGTGTAAATCCTCCTCAAAGTCCTTTCCAAAACCTCCTTTTCCTGCAGGTTCTAAATCTCTCTCACTGCTTCCTTGATACCAGCAACCAGCAACTTCTAGCAGGCCTGCCGGTCCTCCGGCATCTGAACTTGAGGGGGAATCCCTTTCGAGATGGGACTATCCCAAAGACCAACCTGTTTCAGACAGTGGGTAGCTTGGAGGTTCTGATTTTATCGTCCTGTGCTCTCCTCTCCATAGACCAGCAAGCATTCCACAGCCTGAGGAACATCAGTCATGTGGACTTAAGCCACAACAGCCTGACAGGCGACAGCATGGCTTCCCTCCGCCATCTTAAAGGGATCTACCTCAATGTGGCCGCCAATAACATTCGCATCATCCCACCCCGTCTCCTCCCCATCTTGTCACAGCAGAGCACCATTAACTTAAGTCACAACCCCCTGGACTGCACTTGCTCAAATATTCATTTCTTAACATGGTTCAAAGAAAACCTGCACAGATTTGAGGGCCCGGAAGACACCTTGTGTACAAATCCCCCATCTCTGAGGGGAGTTAAACTGTCTGACGTCCAGCTGTCCTGTGGGATTACGGCCCTGGGCATTTTCTTTCTCATAGTATTTTTATTCTTGTTCACCGTTCTGCTCATCTTTGCAGTTAAATACCTTCTCAGATGGAAGTACCAACACATTTAGAGCTGGAGGTTTCCAGAGACGGCAAATAAATGTGTTGAGCAAAATTGCTCAAGTGAAGGAACTGTCACCGATTGGTGACCAGACTTTTCAGAGTAGTTCCTGGAGCTGGCCAGGGGCTCACTGTGCTTTTCTGAGCTTCTTACCCCTGTGAGTCCAGAGCTCACCGGCCTCCTTGGCACAGATCCACTCCTTATCTAGAAGGTAGGAGGAGGTGGAAAGGGCGCTGAGCGAGGCCAAGCCTGGAGTCACCCACTGGGAGGCTGTCTCCCTTCTCTTCCCCTCCCCCACATTCCTCCCAGCCCCCCACACCCAGTCCCTGAAGGGAAATCAGCAGCCCCCACAATTTGGTCCTTCTGAGCCCATTTCCTCGATCCTCCCCGACCCCCACCTCCCCAACAATGTGGGTTCTCAGGAATGTAGCCTTTTGGAAACTTACTGTGGGACCAAATCTCAATGCTTACTTTAAATTAAAAAGAAAAGCACAATACATTTTTAAAAAACGACCGAGAAATGAAACTTGCTATCAAACAGACTCCATTAATCCTTAGATCTGAAAGGCATCTTTAAAGCCCCTCGGGTGCAAATAGCTGCCAAAAAAGGATTCCCCCCCACCCCACCCAGGTTTAGGATTTCTGCCCCATTTGCCTCCTCATTTCAGATCCAGGGAAGCTCCCTCTGCTTCTCTGGCGCTCTCACTCTTGTGTTACAGATCCTAACTTACAGGTGGGCTGTGGTCCAAGTGCTCTTCTCATCTGGGTGTCTGGTCCTTAGAAACCTCACTCCCACAGGAATCATGAGATAAATGGCAGTTTGGTTCCCAGACTGGCCCTGAAAAGCCTTTTCACCATTTGAGATAGCACATTCACGGTGAGAACCATGGAGGAACACATCGCCGCACACTCACTGTGAGAGGCACAGTAAGGCTGCCTGAGGGAGAAGCGGCTTCTGTTCTGGCTGACTGGGATGTCAGTGAAAGTCATACCAACGACAGACAGGGGACAGGACCGTTGAATGCAGAGAGACAAACAGTAACATCGGGACTTAGGCTCAAAGGGTCACACCCACGCCCACACAAGCTTCTGTCTTCCGAAGTCTGGCTAGCCAGACAAGCTTGCCGGGAGCTCTGGGCTCAAGTGTTGCATTGATAAGGCCTGGGTTAAGTTCTATAACACAGTTTTTATTAGAGAAAGAGATGGTAACTTTAAAAAAATTTTTCTTTTTTTCCCAATGGCTTTCGTGGGTACAAATGATTTTTGGTTACATGGATGCATTGGATAGTGGCAAGGACACCCGGGCTTTAAGTGTACCCTCTACCCGACCCATGCACATTTTACCCAACAGGTGATTTTCATCCCTACCCTCCCCATCCTTCCCCACCTGCCTCTTCAATGTCTATTATGCCATTCTCTATGCCTTTGCAGTTCCCTAGGCTAGCTTCCACTTATAAGTGAGAACCTGCAGCATTTGGTTTGTCTTCCTGCATTACAACTCTTAGGAAGATGGTCTCCAATGTCATCCAAGTTGCCACAAAGGACATCATCTCATGCCTTTTCATGACTGAGCAGTATGCCATGGAGAGAGAGAGAGAAAGAGAGAATCACATTTTCTTTTTTTTCTTTTTTGAGTTGGAGCCTCACTCTGTCATCCAGACTGGAGTGCAGTGGCCGCTCCCGGCCACCCCAACCTCGACCTGCTGGGCTCCGGCGATCCTTCTGCCTCAGCCTTCCGAGTAGCCAGAACTACAGGCGCGCGCTATCACGCCCGGCTGATTTTTTGATTTATTGTAGAGATGAGGTCTCGCCAAGTTGCCCAGGCGGGTCTCGAACCCGCAGGCTCAGGCAATCCATTCACCTCGGCCTCCCAAAGCGTGGGATTACAGGCTGAGTCACCGAGCCCGGCTGAGAATCACATTTTCATTATCCACTGATCAGTTGACAGACATTTAGGTTGATTCCACATCTTTGCAATTGTGAATTGTGCTGCAATGAACATATGGGTGCAGGTGTCTTTTTTCTAGAATGACCTCTTTTCCTTTGGGTAGACACCAAGCAATGGGATTGCTGGATCAAATGGTAGATCTACTCTTAGTTTTTTGAGAAATCTTCATACCGATTTCCATAGAGGTTTTTCTAGTTTACAGTCCCACCCACAGTGCATAAGTGGTCCCTTTTTACTGCATCTGTGTCAATATCTATTGTTTTTTTGATTATTAAATAATAGCCATTCAGACTGGTGTAAGGTCGTATCTCATTGTGGTTTTAATTTGCATTTTCCAGTTGGGCTCGCCGGAGCCCAGCAGGTGGAGGCTGCGGTGGCCGGGAGCAGCCACCACACTCCAGTCTGGGAGACAGAGTGAGACTCCAACTCAAAAAAAAAAAAAAAATTTGCATTTCCCTGATGATACATGATGTTGAACATTTTTTTCATAAGTTTGTTGGCCATTTGTATATCTTCTTTTGAGAGATTTCTGTTCTTGTCATTTGCCCACTCTTTAATGGGGTTATTTGCTTTTTTCCTGCTGATTTGTTTGAATGCTTTGTAGATTCTGGATGTTAGTCCTTTGCCAGGCGTATGGCTTTTGAATATCTTCTATTCTGAACATTGCCTATTTACTCTGTTGATTCTTTCTTTTGCTGTGCGGAGGCTTTTTAGTTGAACTAAGTCCCACTTGTTTATTTTTGTTTTTGTTGCATTTGCTTTTAGGGTCTTAGCCATAAATTCTTCGCCTAGGTCAATGTCCAGAAAAGTGTTTCCTAGGCCATCTTCCAGAATTTTTATGGTTCCAGGTCTAAAATGTAACTTTTTTTTTTTTTTTGGTTGGAGTCTCACCCAGTCGACCCAGCTAGAGTGAGGTGGCAAGCTCACGGCCACTGCACCCTCGACCTGCTGGGCTCAGGTGATCAGCCCCAGCCTTCCAAGTAGCTGGAACTACAGGCATGTGCTATCACACCTGGCTAATTTTTTGATTTATTACAGAGACAAGGTCTCACCAAGTTGCCCAGGCTGGTCTCGAACCCCTGGGCTCAGGTAATCCTCTTGCCTCTTCCACCTAAAGGGCTGGGATTATGAGACTTGAGCCACCACACCCAGCCTGAAATGTAATTTTTTAATCTGAGATGATGACTTAAAATGTTTTTATTTTTTCTGTGATTAAGACATGAATCTGAGATGATGACTTACAGTTATGAAATTCTGATTGGCTAGCAAAGTAAAAATGGATCAACATTGATATCCAATCAGAATGCATTATCCCTTAGGTTGAGGGCATCACAGTGGGACATGACAACAGAGTGGAAACTTGGGGGCCAAGCCCCTCAGCCTCTTCTTCACCCCAGGCAAAGCATGACGGGCAGGGGAACCACTTCCCTGCTCCGGGATTTCAGGTCTTCACGCTTGCTCTTTCCTTTGCTGCCGTTGGCCTCCAAATGGATGACTTCCTCACTGTCCTGGGATTTCAACACAAATATTTTCTCCTCTGAGGGGAGCTCTTCCCTGACGTAGCCAGTCCAAGCCAATCTCTGTACAATGCCAAATTCGTGCTCAGAGCACCTTGTTTTATCATCTTTTTAATGCTTATCAGTGTTTGGAATTATCTTCCTCACTTGTTTTAATTAGTCTGTCTTGTCCTCCCCAAATGAAAGCTCCCTGGGGGGGTCTTTGCCCAATACTATCCTAGAATATGCCTGGAAATAGAAAGAACTCGATACATTTTACATAATTGCTGACATTTTGCTTGGCATCTGATCCCTGATCCCTTATTAGCTCCTAGTTCTGCCACCATACCCATCCTACCATCTCTTAGTGTCAGTCGACATCTCCACTGTTTCCTGAACTTACCGCGTCAGAACCTCCTCGCAAAATCTTTTAAAAAATGGATTCCGGGGTCTAACCCCCAGATATTGGAATTCTGTTGAACCGAGGTCGACTTTGGATTCCTGGCCGAATGACTCCACAAAAGCCTTGCCTCCCTTAATGGTAAGTTTATTCCTCTTTCTTCTTCCATCTCAGAGTGTGGAAGGTCCTCATGCTGAGAATCCAAGTCTTAGCCAGCATCAGCCCTTGAGTCCCTGTGTATTCTGTCACATGCAAGCTCTTTCCTGCCACTGGGACTTGAGCTGTAGATAGGAAATACTAATTGCTCAGCTACCACCCCATAGACACACTGTCCTCCATAATATTGAATATGCAAGTTGGAAAACACGAGCATTCTGCAGAAAATCTCTGTTGTGGATGGCTTCCCGCTAAAGATGACAGGGTCCCAAGCCTTAGCAAAGCATAATCGCCTGTCTTGCTTTCATCTCTCAGGCCTGCTTCCTCCCAGGCAATGCAACTTGCTGCTCCATAACTGATCTAAGGCTTTGTGACAGCTCCTCTGTTTTAAGCAACAGTAAATTCACCCCACAAAAGTCGGAATGGGAGCTTTTTGATGGCTGCTGTCAATTTTATTGCTTTATCCTGGTTACGCAGATAGAATCTGCAACTTGGTGTGTTTATTGGTTTTATGTATTGCATGTTGTTGCTGCTCTGACAAGCTACTCCTATAAAAATGTGCTATTATTGCATGATGGAGCTCAGTGAGCTGACCCTGCATTTCAAAGTGTACTGAAGCAAATAGCATTGAGGTCCATAAAAGTGACTGGTCTCCATCACAGAGGACTCTGCGTGAGCTGTAGCTCCTGCGATCTGGGAGAGAATTATACTCTTTTTTTGTGTGCCAGTAGCCACCGCTGTTAACTGAGTACAGCACAGCCCTGAACGCAGGCATTCTCTGCAAAATTCCAAAACAGGAAACTGTCATGTCATTCCTGCTTGTCCAACTCTCCAGTTTTTGAAGTTTACAGAAGCATGAAATAAAAGGCTCTTTAATGTTTTCTGATATTAGTATAGAGTGCCAGAGGGGTGACTGACATTTCTTTTTCTGAATGCTAAAGAGAAAATTAATTTTTATTACAACAAGAGAAGATGTAACTAGTTCTAAGCAAGTCACACCTGGGAGGCCCTGAGTGTCAGGCTAGAGTTGATTGCCTGACACGCAAAGAGTTAGAAGATCTAACATGGTGAGACTTAACCTGAAGGCTGTGGAGGAATGGACTTGCTCAGTGTGGCTCCCAAGTCTGGTTTAGCACCACAGCAGTCTAGAGACTTCTTTACAAAATAGATTCCTGTGCTTCACCCCTA